GATCTTGAGGCTAGGTAACACGGGAGGTGTTAAGTGGAATGATATCCTGCTGTAAAATGTTAATTGCACATAAGACAGATGCCGGTACACGACAGAATAAACATCTAAATCGTTTTCCAGATTTACCATTCGCGAGCATTAAAAACCTTTTATGCTTGTGCCTATTTCGTCTCCCTCGTCGGCCAAATCTTAAACGTGGTATTATGTGCATGTAGATTTGATTGGTGTTGAAGAGTAATAAGTTAAGAGTTACCAAATTAATTTTTCATTGGTGTTTCACTGAAGCACGTGGGAAGAATGCATAATGTATTTGAGTTCGTATCATTTAGGCGCGATCATTATTGTGTTGTGTTAGACGATCGATCTCTTCTACTGTTATCCATGCATTGAACCTCGGAAAGCAAGTGGTAATTCTCAGCGAGTAAAATCTCTTGCTTCACGAGAGCCGATTGGTAAATATAGCTAAGAGCTTCGCCGATGGCGCTGGCATGAAAGCAAGATAGATTATGCTCACAGGCTTGTAAAATCGAGTTCTAGTTAAGCTACAATCAGCCCCTCTATTTTCATAGCCCGCCTGGTTTGAAAGCGCGAAAAGAAAAATTTCCGTGCTTCCTCACTCTTGCGTGACTACTTTCTTCATTCACGTATATACCCAAAGGGTACAGTCAATTCTCTCTCGCGTTAGATCTGCTCGGGTCCCTGGTGCGTAGAATATACCCGAGGGTACAGTTAATTTTCTCTCGATTTAATCTGCTCTGTGCCCTCGTGGGTAGAATATACCCGAAGGTAGAGTTAATTTTCTCTCGAAATAATCTGCTCTGTGCCCTCGTTGGTAGAATATACCCGAAGGTACAGTTAATTTTCTCTCGCAATAATTTGCTCTGTACCTTCTTGGGTAGAATATACCCGGAGGTGCAGTTAACTTTTTCTCGCATTAATCTGCTCTGAACCTTCTTGGATAGAATATACCCGAAGGTACAGTTAATTTTCTCTGGCATTAATCTGCTCTGTGCCCTCGTGGGTAGAACA